CTTCTGGAGCTTGTGTTGTTTTTGTTTCTTTTTTAGTTTCTTTTTTTTTTTTTTTTTTTTGCTTTGTTTTCGCTGCTTTTTCCCTGTTGCCTTTTTTCTCTCCCTCTCTCCACTTTTCCAACTGGAAATGTAGATTGATGCAGAAGCACGAGGCATTCGGGGAAATTCAACGAAAAGTAATCACCACACCCTGAAAAAGATGACAGCCCGTGGGAGGGGGAAAGAACGAAGAAAAACGGGAATCTCCGAAAGCCGTAGAAAACATAGTGCAAAAGAAATTGATGAAGAAAACAAATGCTTACCGTTGACGCGAAAGTTCTACCTCGGGAACACGAGAATCCTTGTACTCACGGTCTTCGTAGACGACCTGGAAATCGTCACCCTTGCGAGAAGGCGCGGGGAGACGGTCCTTGGTGATATGGATATCGACTTCTTCTCTTCCGTAGACACGCGGGTCGGGAAGAGGAGCAGAGGTTCGAGTATCTTCCCGTTCGACGTGCGAAGTACGATCGAGATTGACTTCTCCCTCTACTCTAGTCAGAGTAGTCTCAGGAACAGCGTCACTCCGGTACGACGACGGGAAGACACTGAAGGGGATGGGGACGCGGGCGTCAAAGTCCAGATTGGCTGTCCTTTGGGCGTCTCTTCTCGAATCCCTTTCGAACTGTTGCGAAACAACTCGAAAGGCGAGACAAGAAAAGACTCTTTACTGGGAGAGAAGTCTTTCTCGTGAGAAATGTGAATTAGATTGAAGATTAGATAGATCTAATCTGAATCAGATTGATCGGATGGTTGACAGGAAGGGGGGAATGTGAGATAAACTCAAGAATAATGCTGGGGAGGAAGAGGAAGAAGGAATGGAAGAGGGAAGAGAGGAGAAAGGAAGAAGAAGAAGAGGATGAGGGGCTTGAAATAGGAAGGGAGAGGCCGTCCTTCACTACTGCTGCTGTATCTAATCATAACAAACACCTTACTTTCTACGGAGCACACCCAAAAAAACCTCCTCCATACAGCAACAGAATCATAACTTTCAGTCAATCAATCAATCAATCTCTCAATCATCACATTGATTTCTTCCATCCAATGCTGCTGCTCCTTGTTTCCACGCGTTTGTTTACTGCGCTTTGCCCCGTTTGGGCCTCTTCCAGCCTCCCGATCAGAAACATCCTCTGGGGTTTCATCCATCCGAGGTTGCGGGTGATAATCGCTTTCTCCGGATGGTACGAAAGAAAATCATTATTGTTCTCGTCGACTCTTGTCCCTTTGGGATCAATTTATGCTCAAGAAGAAGCATGTGCTAACTGCAATGGTCATTGCTGATAGAGATATATATAGCTACTTCTGATTGACTCCATCAACCTCCATCCTGCTGCATACGAACGGCCCCATCAACATATCGGTCAACAATGCTTCAAGATAATACATATCACATTAAGTGGTTCTATCAAAACATTTTGTCCCATTCAGAAGGATGAATCTTCACATGCATGAGGATGATATGATCTAGCCCGTGGGATGAACTACTCTCCTCTCCATACGCCGTACTCTGTACACCCAATAAGGATAATGCAATCAGGAATAAAATCTGGAGGCTGGCCAGCATGGGCACTTACACAGAGCTGAAACTCAAAAAACACACCAATCTCCATGGCAACCTCGACTTCCCCCCGGGTCGAATCGGGAATCTGGATCCCTTGGCGCTACTGGGCTGGGACGATCGACCGTGATGGTGGCTTTTGCGCAGCTCTTCTCCTCAACAGCTCGACTAAGCAATTAGTGAGCAGCATTGGCGTGATTGCAGCAGAGCTCTCTTCCAGAGAGACGCAGAGAATCAACCGAGAATATGGAAGAGATACTCCTCATAATTCTAGTTACAGTCAGTACCATTATCATCATCACTTTCCGGCATTTCCTATCGCTCTGGCCCATCTGCAATTGATCCAGACAATCCTCGTGGAGCTCCGTCATTGGATTTGGGGTTTCATCGGCGGTCCCCATCTCACTCCCCGCCGGTCATGTTTCTTGTAAGCTGTGGCTTTCCCCTCTCCAGGCCGGCAGCAGCTTACAGGCTGACAGCCCTAATCTAAAGTGCTCCACGGTTCCACCCCAGTGCTTCTGATCTCTATCATGATTGCTCTGGTTTCATGGGTGCTCCTCGCAGTAAGCGCCCGCCAGCCATCGATTTTCTTGAGCTGTGTCCTTTTACGTTAGCTTGCCGTCAGACACCAAGGTAACAATGTTAATGAACTGTCGTTCGTCACCGCTTCAACCCAATCTCAGGTGTCGGCTGTCCAATCTAGACACATTCCCATATTTATCGATAGATACCCGACTGAAGGAAAAGCAAGAGGTTGGCGCAAGTGGCTGGCGTTTCTGCCTTCTGGCCCCTGGGTTGCCGTGTGGGCCCTGTACGAGATCGGAATCAATGGGGAGTGGACTCGTGGGTGGAGAGCGAAGAGCTCGTTTCCATGTCTCCCAGCTTCCCATCCCGAGGTTGTTGCACGGGTCAACACAGCCGATCATCGGGTACTTTTGCATGCTGGTCGCTGTGCATTCTGGAGCTCAACGGAGCTCGTTTTGATTGAAGGATAATCAAGGCACAAACTGCGTACCTGAACCTTCAGGCTTCAGTCGATGTGTTGTTAGTACTCCGTCATGAATGTCCGAAGAAGTCAGATAACCCATCAGAAACAATGAATGTCCTATTCAACAAGGAACGATTCAAATAATGGCATATAGTACTCCGTAGATAATTTTATAAATGTTACAGATTTCCTTGATCCTCCTTCTATCCAACAGTGATGATCTTTCTGCCGAGAACTCCTCGAACCTAAGATGGTGTATTAAGACCCTTAAACCTTTGCCCATTGCCCATATTATCCATATTCCCAAACCAATGTCCCAATGAAAATCATTATTAAATAGCTCAGAAATCGTAGAAGAAAGACAGAGAGGAAGAAGAAAATAAATCAAGTCTGCTCCATTGTAGGAGTCATAATAGCAATTCCTCCACACGTTGCGTGGCCGGTTGAGAGAAGCGAAGGTATCACAGCAGATTAGGTTCATGGAGGGATGGGGAGCAAAGTATCGAAATCAACGGCAAATAGGGAGCATCTAGCTCCCTCTTGTATAGGCGTAGCAATTCGTAGTATCGTAGAAACGTGAGAAGGATCGGGACTTCGGCCATAGGCAGCTATCGGAGAAGACTTCTCGGAGTGAGAAAACCTGCCAAATTCATAGATTACAAGCAAATATGCTTTGATATATATAGTGGAAGAAGCGAGCAGATATTTCGATCGGGCCCCTCTAGCTGCGCATGCCAAATGCCTTTCGAAGACGAGGAAATCGTTTCTTCCGCCCTCCCTGTGGGAAGACGACATCCTTTGCGCTGAGGCCATTGTTGCCATTGATGTTAGCTAAGTGTTGATCCTCGCGCGGAGGTGCAGCTTCGGAGCTCTGCATATTAGTTGCGGTGTCACTTGCGGTGGGCTCATTATGGCGGGCAATAGATGCACTTCCGTCTTCAGATGCACCCGCCGCTAACGGGTGCTGCTCCGCCGCAGTTCCAGCCGCTGCGGCTTCTGACCCTTTGCGCCCAGAGTCCAGTGGAAGACCGTTGTCGTTCGCTTTCTTCAAGCCTCCCTTGGTGAGCTTCGAAGGGGAAGTCCCGGAGTGATTGGCAGTAACAGTTGTGACCGTAGCTCCCCGCGTGGAATTCAGCAAATTCTCCTCCCGCATGTGAGCGAGGTCCTCAGGGTTGGACTTGGAGACCTTGTGTTCCATGGGTCGCCTAGATTTCTTCAGGGTGAACCGGCCCAGAATTCCAGACACTCGCCCCTTTGCCGGCCGGTGGAGGAACTCATCCAGCTCCTCCTCTGTCATTCCACGCGACCTGGCCACTGCAGCAAGTCCCGGGTCGTGCGAAAGAAGATTAGGTTTTTTGGAGACAGCTGCTGGTGCAGGGGTGGCTGGCCTCTCGTTCTCAGAGCTATCTTCGAGTTCCGTCGAATCGCCGTCGTTTGTTCCCTGCCGTCGAGGAATGCCGCGAACCGGACGAAGGGTGTGTATCACGCGGCCTTCCTCATCGTCACTTGAATCATCGTATCGAAGTTGCAGTTTCCGCTGCCGGAAATCAGCATCTTCGTCATCGGAATCCGGGAATCGTGATACGAAACGAGGCGTGGTTGTCTTGGTGACCTTCGATTTCGGAGACCTGCCAGAGGAGAAGATTGAAGTCTTGTCGTTCTTGGGTTCACTGCTCCGTAATGTGGTGCGCATGGTACCTGTGCCTGACCCCGAGGAAAGGGGCCGACTTTCGATGGAAGGCGATGATGCCCGGCCGGGAGACGGTGGCATGGCGCGGATCGGAGGGCCTCCCCGCATGGTGCGTCGCATGGTACGCTGTCCACCCTTTTTGGCACGGCGCGTGGACCTTATAAAACTGCTGGATGAGTCGCTTCCAGTGGACATTCTCCTTTGAGGCATGGAGGGCGCTCTGCCGTTGATAGTTCTCTCGCTAGGAGGAGCTGGACCGATTTCCTTTTGGATGACCGGCCCGAACGACACAGGTCTCTTTTTGGCCCGCTCAGAGCCGGCTCGACGTAAAGCAGATGTACCGTTGCCGGATGGGCCGCGTGATGAGCCATCCGTTGCAACAACATCACGTAGCCCTGAATCACTGTATACTATGGTTGACATGGGCCGCTTCGCTTGACTCGCGCGTGCGGACGAATGTATGTCTTTGTCGGTCGCTTGCCTCTGACCTGTAGACCGTGTCGGGAATGGAGGGTAATGATACGATAATGGAAGACACTCTTGAGGGGAGGTGGGAGAGTCGGCAGCCTGCGCAGTAATACGCGCTTCTTGCACGGGAGTTGCTGCGCGACCAGCCTGACTTGACTCTTCGAGCCTGCTCGCCGTTCCATTTTTGGACTCTGCTCCGAATCCGCGCGTGCCGTCTTCGGAGAATGTGTTGCCGATGAGAGAATCAACAGGTCGGCCGTCTTTGCCTTGCGCTATCCGCGCATCCACGATCGCATTGATTGAGCCAAAGCCATCACCATCGACAACCTCCTCAGCGTCGCTGTAAACACTTTCCCCTGACTCGTCATCACTCTCCTTGCCATTCGGCATATGCTCATCGACAGCTTTGCCACGTGCTCTCCTCTTGCCTTTCTTTTTGCTAGTGGCTTTGGAGTCAAGCTCTAACGAGGTACGCGGGAAACCACCGGGGACACTATATATCTCAAGACTTGAACGCCCTTTTTCGGCACCAGGTGAGACTGTTCGGGCCGTCACGCCCTGTAGCGCTAACTCCACATCTGGAGTCATTAATGGTTCCTGCTCCTGCATCAAGTGCGCATCCACTACTGACGGTTTCAGAGCCTGAGAAGCTTGAGACACCGGCTCATGAACGAAGGCACTATCTTGTCTGACTGCATTGCTCGTTTGGTCGCTAGCACCTTCAGAAAACTCAGTGAGGGGGATGCGATCGACTTCTGTGCCAGGTTGATGAGCTGTTATTGAAGGCTTGGACAAGATGCCTCGAACGGAATGGTCATTCGAGACAGACCGGCCGGAGACCACTGCTTCGAACTCAGACGAGGCGGTAGACTCATTGTCACTGAAGTCCGGCTGGGCGGGCTCAGGTTCGTCCTCTCGGCGTCCTCTTATCCTGCCAAAAGAAGGAAGAGCAGGCCGGGGCTTCAAAACCTCATCAAACTCATCAGGATCAACGGCATCCAGTTGAGAGGTCTTCCGCTTACCGACCCCGAACCATCCAGTTTTGGTCCTGAATTTTTCAGGAGGCTCAGGGGTCAGTTCCTCTGGGGAGGTTGGCGGACTCGCTGCAACTCCAACAATTTCCGCATCATCGTCAAAGCTTACTTTGACAGGCTTCCTACGGTAGCCGAGTCTGGAACCATCGTCTGAAGCCACAGAAGTGGCGTCAGAGAGCTCACTGAGTGCCGGACCTGGACGGAGAACGCTTCCATTTCTCCCACTAGGAGACAACGAACTTTTTCGCGCATTTTTCAGCGCGGATTTGACCGGTGAAACTGATCTCGGAGGAGGTTGATGCTCAGCAATTCCAGCCACTGCGAGTTGAGAGGAAAATCGCGCAGATCTACCCGGACTGCTGCTGGAATAACGGATGGGGGATTGTTGTAGCCCATGTTCTAGCCCCGTAAATTCATCCGACTCAACGGAATGGACGGGGTAGGTAGGTCGTGCATCCTTTTCGTCTGGCGTGGCTGGCGTTCTGATGATTGAAGGTTCCGCAGCATACAAATGCTCCGAAAAATTGGGCACAGGTTCGCCGATAGGCGAAACACTCCCGGCGCGCGGATGATCGAAGCGACTCCCAGTTTCCTCTGGGCCCGCCCGTTCTTCACCCTGGGAGTCTTCTTCAGGTACGGTAGGCGTCCGCTTTGGCCCCATCGCAGGAGAGGATATTTGCCTCAAGTCCTGACTTCGCGCATGACTATTAGTGGCCACTTCTCGATGATTACCGAAGCGATTGACCACTGGTGAGTGACTCGTTCCGTCGGATTTGGGCACCACAGCAGCCTGTGCAGCTGCGACAGCGGTACCAACGGAAGACGCGGTTCGCCCGGGGCTTCCGGTAACGAGCCCAGTTGCCTTCTTTATTGCCTGGTTTTTCGCTACCCGGGCATTCGGAGACCCGGCGGGCGACAACTCGTGGTTGAGCGACACGTTAGTCAAGGCCTCACGTTGTGTGGGAAATTGGCGCGAGATAGTTGGGGAGGTTGGTCGGCCATTCATCGGATATGAGAAATTGATTGAGTTTCGACTGGCTGTTCGTTCGAGCTCGGGAACCGTACACAAGGGCTGGGATTGGATGTGCGACTGGCTGGACGACGATCGCAGCGATCTGTCAACACTCATACCGCGACCCAGCTTCTTATGTTTGGGCGAGGAGTTGAATCGCATGCTTGGCTCCAGGCTGACGGAGCGCCGACCAGGGTTTCTCCGGCCTGAAAATTCCAGAGGCATGGAGGGCAGGGGTGGAACGACATCCACTTGGCCGTTACTGGTAGCAGGTCGACGCGGGGATTGTTCTCGGAACGTTCTATTGCTCATGGAGCTCGAGCTATTACTGCGACGAAGGTCTGTCCTGCTGCCTGGACGGAGGCTACCGGTCTGCGAAGTCACGGAGGCCCGTCTTTGAATCATTCTCTTGGTCTGGACATTTTCCACGGGAGTTGGAGTGGGCGTGAGACTTCGTAGAGCCGCCGCGGCCGCAGCAGAAGACAGACTGCTTGAGGAGGGTTGGGATTTAAGGAAGGCATGGGTGGCAGCGGACTGGGCGGACTGTGAGGATACAGTGGAGAGAGGCTAGAGGAAAGCAAAGAAAATCAGCTTCAGCCATTTTGAATTTGCGAAATGCGGCTAAACTGCAAAGCTCACCTGATGACGAGATGTGCTTCTCCTTCTGCGGAACATATTGGGTCCTCAAGCGAAAGAAACTCGATATCGTCGCGTCTGCCTCAAACGGCGGACACGGGAGCTGACGTCGACAAAGACACAAGTTTCTTCGTGCCTTATTTATCAATGTGACTCAATACTCAGATCTCGAAGAGCAGCGACGGATAGTTATAGTAGTTCTTCTAGCCGTAGAATCCGTGACGTTCGAAAAGTCCTCGGACTGCCTGGCAATATTGTGCTGCGTTGTCAGCGAGAGGGGGGAGCGGAAAAAAAGGCCGGAAGATTTCCTCAAAGAACGTATAAGGGAGAGTATTTAGAAGAACAAGGGGGGATGAAGGGAAGGAAGAAACGGGAAAAATTGATGCGAAACTGAATGGAGAAATCAAGTAATCAGTTTCAATGACGATGAGTAGAGGGGAGTTGCAGTACCAACTCCCAAGAAGGGGGATAATGCTGATCGAGAGTCGAAGGGGCACACTTTGCGTCATGGACTGGAGGCCGATCAAGTCAAATTAATGAGCGATTGAGCAGCGCCTCTTATTTTCACTTTCATTTTTATTCTTTTTAGTTTGGTCGTTCTGGTGGGGTTAGCCCTTTTTAGCTTTTTCTTGTATTGGTGAGGATCATCTGGAATTCTTCAAGATCGATAGATTAGGGTCCTTCTTGCGTGCTGCAGGATGTCTTCTGTAAGGCATCGATGATGTATGTGGGTGTGAATATGTAGGTGCCTGAGGTTGCATCTTGCATCTCCCTAGTTGGTACCTTGAAAATAAGGTTACCAATGAACAAGTGAAGGTGTTGTCTGCCTTATTGCCTTCCATGCCTTGATTTTCGGGTAATCAATATGGCTGATCTTTATGGAGACTCCAACATATATACTCTGCGTTCATGCGGAGAAATGTAGATCTATAGATCGATACGAATGCACAAAGCTCTCACTATCTAACAACTGCATGGTACATCTCACATTCAACATCCAAGCAAAGTGATAACATGGCATCTCTTCCCCTTCCACCTCATGTCTCTAGTCGATCCGTCTCCACCTCCGCCCTTAACTTCCACATCCTCGAGGCCGGCTACTCTCCCGACCACAACCGTCCTCTGATCCTGCTTCTCCATGGCTTCCCCGAACTGGCCTTCTCATGGCGCAAGATCCTGCCCCGTCTCGCAGAGGCAGGGTACTACGCCGTCGCCCCCGACCAGCGCGGATTCGGCCGCACCACAGGCTGGGACACCCGCAGCTACGACGAGGTAGATCTGTCCACCTTCTCGCTCACCTCGCTAGTACGAGACATGGTGATTCTCGTTCACGCACTGGGATACCGCTCCGTCCGCTGCGTCGTGGGCCACGACTGCGGCGCCGTATCCGCCGCCATGTGCGCATTGATCCGGCCAGACTTCTTCGAAAGCGTAGTCCTGCTGAGCCATCCGTTCAACGGCACGCCATCCCTGCCCTTCAACACCGCCAACAACCGTGACCATGACCATGACCATGACCACGGAACCCCAGGAAGCGGCGGCATGGAATCCGCCGCCAGCAACCACATCCACGCTGAGCTGGCCCAGCGCGACCGCAAACACTACAAATGGTACTACTCCACCGCCTCGGCAAACGACGAGATGAGCCTCCTCCCGGGCCGACTCCGCGAGTTCCTGCGCGGGTACTTTCACCTCAAGAGCGGCTCGTGCGCGCGCAACCACCCGCGTCCATTAAACTGGACAGCGGATGAACTACTCCAACTACCGTTCTACTACATCATGCCGCTGGACGCTACCATGCCCGAAGCCATCGCGCTGGACATGGCGAACGAGCCGGAGAAAGCTCAGCAGCTTTCGCAGACCTGGCTGCCTGATGCGGATCTGGATGTTTACGTGGCTGAGTATGGGCGGACGGGGTTCCAGGGTGGGTTGAACTGGTACCGAGTGCGGACGGCGGCGAATGGTTGGTTCACACGGGATTTTGACGCGTTTGCGGGGAAGAAAATCGAGGTGCCTTGTGCGTTTGTGTCGGGGAAGATGGACTGGGGAATTTACCAGGAGCCGGGGGCCTTGGAGAAGATGGTGAATGGGGAGGTGTGCAGTGATTTTAGGTTCCTGAGGTTGATTGATGGGGTGGGGCATTGGGCGCCTCAGGAGAGTCCGGATGAGGTTGCTGGTGCGATTCTGGACCTGGTGCGTAGTCTGAAATGAGCATGTAAAGCCATATCTTGACTTTTGATCAACAGGTATCTGCTTCAATCATAGGGTCGTGGCCTATAACGCCTGTAGGATAAGAATGCGTGACTCACAACAAGGCAGAGTGAGGTGTTATAGACAAGGAAGTCTCGCAAAGTCATGCAATAAGATACTCAAATTGGGTATGTAATGCAAAGAAAAACCACAACAGCCAAAATGAAACACAGATCTACATCATCGCCCAGCTGAACAATGCTATCATGTACACAGGCAGCATGCTCATCAGCGACGGCTTGGGCGCCGCCGCCGACGTGAGCGACGTTGTTGTGAAGACCTCGCCAAAGGTGATGATGCTCGAGTTGAAGCAGTTGTCACGCGTCACTTCCTCTACCTCTGTCGGTTCGGCGAATTCAATATCCACGCACTGCGTCATGGTCAGATTCAGCCACTCGGCAAAAAGCAGGGGACGTACATTGTACAAAGCTGCACCGTGCTTGGCAGTCTCAATAACCTGAATAGTGGCGTGGTCGCCTGGACTCACACTAATGTTCGCCGGCAGTGGGACCTGTGGCAGACAGATCGTACCGGGATAAGGGTTATTGGTCGGACCTGTGATCTGGAAGGGAGAGATCATAGGATGGCTCATGTTCGGAGGGACTGTTCCCAGGCCCAGGTTGATGTAGATGAGGGCGGTTTGATGACCCTGGAACCAGCCAGGTTGGAAGGCAACAGCGCCGCCTCCGACCGGCCATTTCGTTCGGTTGGTGGATGTCGGCATTCCTCCGCCTGCAAAATGATACGATCATCCATTAGCTGTGCACACGTTCATGGACAGAGTCGAAGATCAGCCGGGTAGTCCCTACAAGGATATATCCACTCCATGCCGTAGGGGTAGATTAGTGAGTTATTAAAGTAAGCTGCCCCCAAACCATTTGCCTCTTCGACACTGCCGTTGGTGTGGAGGTTGTTTCCTCTGTAGCCTGGGTACGTGATGACGGTGTGGGCGTTGGCGAGTCCAGCACACAGCAGTGCGATGAATGCCGCCCATTGCGATATCGAGGATTGAAGCACCATGATGTATGCGAGACCTTCACGGAAGGCAAGGGATAATAGGTCAACTGCAACGGCAGAAGCAGTACTGCAGATAAAAGGGAACAACCGTCTTCTTTTCGGATGTGAAACTCCTACGGGAGTGTTCAAGTCGAGTCAAGTCAAGCAGTTGGCGAACAGTTCAACCGTCCGAAACGCAGAGAATGATCATCATCCGAAAGAAAAATAAGCTTCGCGAGCAGCAGCCGAAGGAACCAAATAGGGGAGGGCGTTCACGTCTTTTTGAAAGAGAGCGAATAAAGCCCGGAGGCCAGGTCTTGCAGCAGACTTTCATCGTGACTTGACTACCGCGGGGAGTAGATTAACATTGGACGAGTGAGCATGCAGGAGACTCTGATGTGACCACACCCGCAGGTTGAAAGGTTGAAAATTGGCTGTAGCGTCTGCCTCGTTCCTCTGTGCTTGAAAGGCAGTGTTGCGCCCGTGAGGAGACGACCAGTCTCGCCATCGGATTGGATCGACTGGGCTTCTAAGACGCTGGGCTGCAAGTGGCATCACGTCCTGGCAGGGATAGTTGAAGCCATTCTGCGCCGATGATTCGTGGAGCAAAGGAGGTGGAAGCGCCCCGATCTTGACGCTAGAAGAGAGGAGCCGTCATGGGCTGGGCGCTTAGAGAACCTCCGTGAGTGCAGCAGAAGGGGCGATCACTGTGACGGATGCACATCAATTCGAGTGAATAACGACGCATCCTAAAGACTCGAGGTTATCCGCCATTAGAATGACTTAATCATCTCGATATTCCTCATGTTTTGATACTGGACTTGGAATAGCATCTGGCTGATGTTGGTGGCTGTTAGCGCACTCCGGCAGCTCATCCAGAGCTCAGGGCCTGATAATCAAGGACACCAATCCAATATTGTATTATTCTTACTTGTGTGCATAGTAATCTCAAGCTGATATGACCATTCCATTAAATCAAGACACGATCTCTTACTCCGTAGTGAGGTACCTAAGGAGACTTGAAAAGGTCACTATGTACGGAGTACCCCTTACGGATAGATGGTCCCGATAACTGATAGCTGATATGATACTCGATAAGCTCCACCCCACCACAGATAACCATCCTGATAATGATAACAAAAATCACCCCAGCATGAGCATCAACTGCCAACCACTGTACAGTGTACACTCCCCTAAGAATAACCCGAACCACATATATACCAAGATGCCCCACACAGGGCGTCCCAGAAAACCCAATCCCAAACTCCAGCAGCAGAAACGCCTGCAAGTCACCGACGCAGACGGCTGGACGCACGTCACCACCAACAAAAACGTGCGACGGGCGCTGCGCCCAAACCGCAGCGCCGACGCAGGCCACTCGTCAAACCCGTCGCTGATCCCAGCCGAAGCCCCCTCGCGATTAACCCTCGACGACCTCCAAACCCAATTCAATGGGTACCGCGAGAGATGGGAGGGATCGGAGACATGGCGCGTGTTGGCGGGCACACTCCAGAGGAGATTCGAAGGGTCGAGTTCGATCTCCGATCCAGATCCCCATGCGACTCCGCTGGAGAACATCGTCTGCATTGGACTGGGAAGTCCGAGCGGATTTCTGCGAGGGGGGTGGGTAGATCGCCGGAGTGTGGCGCTGTATCAGCTCGCTGCGTTGGTGGGCGTAATGGAACTGATCAGTGAGTCGATTGCTGCGACCAGTCTATGCGCCTCGTGTGAAAGACCATTGGCTAACGATTGCATTCTTCCATTGATCAGAGAAATACTTTCCCTCGATCACAACCTACGCCCAGGATCCCGTCTTCAACCAGCTCGACCGGTCCCTCCTCACGTCTCTCGATATCACCGTTCTTGATCACCCCGAGGGGTTTGCAAAGGTCTCCGATCGGTCATTTCTGTACTGTCCCGGTGCGGAACGAACGCATCTTGAGCAATTGCTTTCATCGGATCCGCCGTTGCTCTTCGGGGGTCCCCTGGAGGGGATTGAGTCCGAGGTTGTTGGTCGGTATCTCGGCACGAGGGGGTCAGTGCGAGTTCCGACATTTGGAAGCAATGAGCATGCGTTTTGGAATATGCGGTTGTATCTTTCGAAGAATGAGAGTTGAAACGAGCATGTTGAGTTCTGCGCGCGACACTCAGATAAACCAGTATATACCCATTGTATCCGTAGAGAAAGTACTGATGATTCATGATTATTAAAAGTATGTAAAGAAAATACTACTACCGCTGTCACAATAGTGATCGATATTCTATACAATGCTAAAACTCAATAATCCACAGGTTCAATGGTCGTCAAACTAACCCCTAGCCAGAGCCTGCTATGGTATATACAGACATGCCCTCAATCATCAACAAGTGTATCTTAGCAAGGAGTGTTAATTTCCATGTGCAATATGAGACAAGCTTCAAATAAAGCCATGCAAAAATCAGCGGCAAGCAGAGAGTAGAGCTCTGACCCCGACTGAGGAAGAGAATACTCAACAGGTGGTAACGTACACAATCAAGGAGAGAAGGGAGAACAGCACCAACGCCAAAAGCCAAAGACTTGTGGAGGTCCGTCAGGATATGCGTCGTCAAGCATGCTATTGTAGAAGGGGGAAAATTTGTTGGGGGAGGCTTCATGTGCAAGAATAGATGGATTGAAAGGGGTACCAAAAGCTATTGCATTGAGCGTCAAAACGAAAATGTGAATCACAGTCATCGAGTGGCCGTTTTGCCGCCACAGTCGGGAATCTTGAGGCCAGGCTTGAGGTTACGAGCCGCGTCCATGAGACCCCATTTGTCTTCCCAATTCTCATTCGCAGTATTGTACTGGATCTTCCATGGCTCGTCGAAGGCCTCGAACCTGTCGCATTTGTTAGCCGCGGTGATCGAAACCAGTTGACTGCTTAGGGCGGATGTAGGGTTCATACCAGAAGTAATCCGTGCCATTTTCCAGGGCTTGACAGACCCAGTCCTCCATGAATTTGTTCATCTCGTCGATGCCGGCCACGGAACCCGCTGTGTCGTTCGGGCAGTTACCACCATCCCCGCAATCATTTCCTCCGGCGCTGGGCCAGCCAACCTCAGAGATGACCTGCTTCTTGTTGGTGCCCTTGGTCAAGGCAACGTCGTGATCCTGCCAGAATTGCCAGGTCCAAGCCGCAGCTTGATCAACCGGAATGCCTCCGAAGAAAGGGTGCACGTTCGACATGACGACATCTGCCTCTTGAACCAAAGTTGCATCCCAGTTGTCACCTAGATCTGATGTTGCGACTGGTAAATCAAGGTTCTTCTTTTTGAAGTAGTCCTTCACTTCTTGCATGTAGTTGATGAGGGTCTTCTGCGCGGTAGCCTTGTCACTTCCTGCTCGAAAGAGGGCTTCATTACCAACAATGGCCCCGTTGAAGATGGAAGTGTCGTTGGCGTCATCGATAATCTTGTACAATTGATCCACCTGCCGTCTTGACGTCGTTTCGTTACTGTCGATCCACACGCCGAGCCAGATTTTCATATCTTTCAGCTCGAGCTTGTTGATCGCGTGGAGGACCATCTCCGTCTGGTTGCAGTCCGTACCGTAGAGTCGCACGTTGTTTGTTAGTTGCGTGAGCACGGCCATATCCCGGGTCACATTGTTCTGAGATGGAGGATACTTGAGACATAGAGGATATTGGACACCCCACGGGGTGTAATCAATACCGGGAAAAACCTTGTGCAAATTCTTGTTGTTCATCAGGGCCTTGATCTCGGCAGAGTTCTTATCCAGATCCCCGTTGGCGCTTGTATCGCCGGTCGCCGTCTGTGTGGAGGAAGAGGAAGCCGAGGATGACTCTGCACCGTGTTTGTGGCCTATCGTACCACCGACCGCACCTCCTACGATGGCCCCGACAATGATGAAAGCCAGGATCGCCCCCACAATCCACCCACGCTTTTTGCTCCCCCCTCCTGGCTTCGGCTTGACCCAGCGACCCTTCTCTCCAGCCTCGAGACCAGCTCCCGGAACTGGTCCGTACGATGTGTCGGCGGCACTCTTGCCCCCGAAAAGCTCGCCCAAATTCCCCAAGACTCCACCTGCTGCAGCACCTCCAGCCGCCGCAGGAACGGCCTGAGACTTGCGGGCCCCGGATCTTGTGTTCGGCGCGGGTGCGAAGCCGTCATCGCCGTCATCGACGATCTCATCCGGATTGATGTCAAGAGGTAGATCGTTCGAGCTATAAGCCGAGTGCCGTTGGTAGGGACCGGCGTTCAGACCTGCTACACCCTGATATGGGCTATCATAGAGGTTGCGTTGCGATGGGCTCGATGTGCTGAGATGCGAAACGGATTGACCCGGGGTCAACTGTCCAGCCGGGGCAGCGGCTGCCCCCAAAGCGATATTGGAACCGTACGAATATCGAGGCTGGAGCGTCTCGGAGCTTCCATACGCTCCATGCTCCGGTGGCGTAGGGATATATGGGTTATCGGATCCCGTGGTGCTGAACCCTCGCTCTGCAGGAACATTAGCCTCATGGCCGTCTGTGCCCCTCAGGGCCTCCACTCCACTCAAACGATCGTGGCTATTGGCAACGCCGAGAGCAATACCGCGAATGCCGCCTCCCACGGCCCCTGGTCCCAGATTATCCATCCCCGGGGTCGCTGATGAACCCGTCCGTAACGAGGGTGACGGTCCTAGACCCTGACCCCATCCCCGATGGTCGTCCTCCGGCACTGACCCAAGTCCACGGTCCATTCCCTGACCATTGATCGGATTCGTGCGGGCTCCGTCGGAGATCGGGGAATCATCGTCGTACTGCGAGTGCATGGCCTGAGTTCTGGAAGATGGATGTGCTAAACCATCGTCGCCCTCGCCAAAACTGAATGTCCGGTTGGGACCGGACATTGTTCAAACCACAACCAGCACACCGGTATACCTTTGTATGGATTCTTCTGCCACTTTCCGGTATCCGAAAGAGTAGTTATGCTAGGTCAAGCAACCGATGATGAGTTGGTTCGTAATTAGAAAAGGAGGCAGCTCCAGGGCTAATTATTGGAATTGGGTTGCGCCAGAAAGTTACTCAGATTGACCGATCAAGTTTAGTTAATCCGGGCAAGGCGGCGACTTTTATGAAACTGACAATAATAATAGTGAATCAGCGGGACAGGGCACAAGTGTCGAACCACGGTTCCCAGCGATGACAGCAGAGAACTTGAGATATTTCAGGAACAGTCAGGAAGAGCAAAAGAAAGGTTGGGAATATCAAGCGGGAACTTGGGAGCACGCAAGCTTGACAGCAGGTGAACTCTCGACAAGTCGAAGAGTTTCAATTACTTAGACAGATCCGGGGCAAAGAAGAGCATTCCGTAATAAGCGTGGCAGAAGAATGCGACATTGACAGGATATTTTGGGAGTACCAATAAGACTTGTATCAGAGAAACACTTACCTGGGTATCTATCTAGTCGATAGTGTCTGACCATGCGAGGAGGAAAAGGCCAGAAAAGCGGAAACCTAAGCCAGCATCGCAATAGTCGACGCTGTCGCTGTTGATGTCGATGTCGATACGGAGTACAGGAAGGAGAATAATGCCCCAAGGGTTGATCGAGTGTAGAATCGAGATGGAATCCAAACAGACAAAATAGCTTCAAAAAGTGACCGATTCACAAACAATGAAAGAAGCAACGTGAGGGGAACGGAAACCAGCGACTGCATGCGGAATACTGTATGTTATGACTTTCCAACTGCCGAATCAAGCACAGACACTTGATGCTGATGCTGATGCTGATCACGGTCGGCCGGTGGCCCCGACAACCTGATTTAGTGCTGTCGGTCTGCCTGTCACCACAAATATCCCTCTACCTCTATTTAAAAAGCCCTTCTTCTTTTGTTTTATTCTGTTCTCATCAGATTTGCTTCCCATATTCCAGTAATTATTCTGATCTCAAGTCCAGCAATGACTTGCGAGTTACGACAGTGGATGATCCGCCGCTCAGGGTCTAGGTTGGATCCACGTTGTCAGGGACTATTTTTTCCCTTTCAAACGTCAAAGACCCTGGTTGCGGTAAACCCCAGTATCGTACAGTACGGCGTCAGACTTGGGACTTTGTTTACTGCAGCCGGCAATTTTAGTAAACTAACTTATTCTTACTATTTGACGCCACGTGAGAAATACGATCATAAGACAGTAATTAGATTGCAATGAATGAGCAGAATGAAATGTCAAAAATTAAAATTGATAAATACATGTCGGACAAGGTGAACTGTATGCCATGTTTTACCATACCGAGGGTAAGATCATGTCAATGGAATTGATTCTAATGCCATCCAACATGGGTCAATGTTCTTGTCTCAGGTCTTGGAGGATCTGAATCAGTTCTTAGTCTTACTTGATTGACAATTAATACAAATGCAATGAACCACATGAGAAGATGGAGTCAGATGTGAGACAGACAAGTACCTACCGACCTACCGACCTACCGCACCTTCCTCCTGAGGCTGGTTTATTTTTACCCCTGGCGTTTTCGGAACCAAGGTACCCCTATCTAACCAAATCTGGCAAGGTTCCTTTCATGGAGCACACACCTTTCCATCTTTGGCTTAGGCCCGCTAATTACTGCCACAGTCAAAGTATCCTGATTGGCTAAAACACCGCATGTGATCATTGCTTGTCTCAGTTTTCTATCACTTTCATGAGGCTTGGACTCTTGATGATCAATCCATCCACCACAAAGCATCTCAAAAGAAAAGAAAAGGAATCCGTCATTGCATTCGTGCCTCGTATCCTCATACCTTATACTCATAGTCATCACAGCCATTATATAATCATCGCAGAAATCAAACATCAAATCAAACGCCTGTCCTGTTAATGAACCCATTCATTCCTTCATCATAAAGTCTTCAATACATCAAATCTGCCATCCTGGGCGTCTGTGATCGCATTGCCGATGTTCATCCGCTCAACAGTGCGGCAAATTCCGTATTCCCATAGCGTCGTCACGTCGTAGCGAGTTGTCGGCCACATCGTAAAATATCATAGAACAATCATAAAATGTAGCAGCCCTAGACTGTTAGCACGAAGTCTATCCCATGTGGGTTGGACCATTCAGGCTTCAACTTCTTCTGCGCTCCGTTGGGATGCAGACATCCCCTGC